AACAGTTTTTATTATGAAATAATAGTTTTACTGAACATTTTTTATCAAATACTTTTCCTGGATCAAGATGATCATATAGTTGTTCTCTTTTAGTCTGTTCATGAGCTTCATGTCATTGTTTGATTTTTGTAAAGTTAAGCTAACCTTACATTCCTGTATTAAACTTCTTTGGTCATGATATATTTCAGTGTATATGTAGGTGGATTCTATTTACTGATAGAGTTTTTTGGTATGTATCTATATTCATAAAGAATATAGGTCTATAACATTTTTTTAAGATTTTTTTATTTATTCATTCGGGACACAGAGATACAGAGAGAGAGAGAGAACATGAGCAGGGGGAGAAGCAGAGGGAGGGGGAGAAGCAGGCTCCCTGCTGAGCAGGGAGCCCAATGTAGGGCTCGATCCCAGGACCCTGGGATCCTGACCTGAGCTGAAGGCAGCCGCTTAACCGACTGAGCCACCCAGGTGCCCCTCCTTATTACTTTTTTGATGTCTATTGGAGTCATTGCTAATATTGGTAATTTGGTTTTTCTTCTCTTTTTATCTTTATCAGTCTTATGATTTATGAATTTTATTACTATTTTCAAAGAACCAACTTTTGTCTTTGTTAATTTTCTCTATTGTTTGTTTTCTATTTCATTGTTTTCATCTCTATTTCTTCTATTTAAATTGGGTTTATTTTTTTCTAGCTTCTTAAAGTGGGAATTTAGACAATTGTCCTTAAGTCTTCTTTTCTAATATACGTGTTTAAAGCTATATATTTGCTTTTAAGCACGGCTCTAGTTGAACCCCATGAATTTTGATATCATTCAGTAATCTCTATGCCCAATGTGGGGCTCGAACTCATGACCCCGAGATCAAGACTGGCACACTCTACCAACTGAGCCAGCCAGGTGTCCTGATATCATTCATTTAGAGATACTTTATAATCTCTTCTGTGATTTCCTCTTTGTTTCATGGGTTATTTAGGAATAGAATGTTTAATTTACAAGTATTTGGAACTTTTAAAGATACCTTATTGTTATTCTTTAAATCCTTTTTCCCCAAAAACATATTCTGTAAGATTTCAATCTTTTAACATTTATTGAGGATTATTACCAAGTATGTGGTCCATCTTGGTACATGTTCTATGTATACTTTATTTTTTTAAAAAAAGATTTTATTTATTTGACAGAGAGAGGGAGAGAGCAAGCATGAGGTGGGATGGGGAGGAGCAGAGGGAGAGAGAGAGAAGCAGACTCCCCACTGAGCAGGGAGCCCGATGCAGGGCTCGATCCCAGAACCCTGAGATTGTGATTTGAGCTGAAGGCAGACGCTCAATCGACTGAGCCACCCAGGCGCCTCTGTTCTATGTATACTTTAAACAGATGTGTATTCTACACTTGTTGGGTATAGTACTCTACACATATCAATTACGTAAAAATGATAGGTAATGTTCAGAGCTTTGACATTCCTCCTGCTTTTTATTGAGTTGTTTTATCATTTACTAAGACAGAGGCTATGAAATCTCCATCGAAGATTGTGGCTTTGTGTATGTCTCTTTTTACTTCTGTTTTTACTTCATGTATTTTGCGGTTTTTGTTGTTTTTTAAGTAATCTCTACACTCCACGTGGGACATGAACTTGCAACCCTGAAATCAAGAGTCATACACTCCACCAACCGAGCTAGCCAGGCACCCCTCTTCATGTATTTTGAAGCTGTTTCATATTTGTAACTGTTAGGTTTTCCTTAAATGTTTTTCTTTACCTCTGATGATATTCCATTTTTGAAGCAGACAGGGAGAAAACTTGGTCAGGTGAGATGAACTACAACCATATAGTGATAGGGGCGCCTGGGTGGCTCAGTCGTTGAGCGTCTGCCGTCGGCTCAGGTCATGACCCCAGGGTCCTGGGATCGAGCCCCGCATCAGGTTCCCTGCTCAGTGGGGAGCCTGCTTCTCCCTCTCCCACTCCCCCTGCTTGTGTTCCCTCTCTTGCTGTGTCTCTCTCTGTCAAATAAATAAATAAAATCTTAAAAAAAAAATCTTTACAACCATATAGTGATAAATATAGTGGCATCAAAATAGATGGGAGGCATGGGCCAAAACTTGACTGACCCTGTGGAAAGGAGGAGTAAGTTAAATTCAATTTTGTAACCCTATTAAAATTTTTCCCCTTAGGCCTGCCCTGGGACTTGAAATGTATTTACTAGGGCTTTACCTATAGGACTTTTAGAAAATTGGACATTTTTAGTAGAATTACGTATTTGTTAAGATTAATTATTTAAGGGGTGCCTGGCTGGTGGAGCATTGTGACGCTTGATCTCAGGGTTGTGGGTTTAAGCCCCACGTTGAGTGTAGAGGTTGCTTAAAATCTTTAAAAAAAAGATTCATTTGATTTAAATCTGTAACCACCCACTGTCATCTATGGAAGGGTAGCCTATTTTTAAGAATTATCTCCTTTGCCTCTGTTAGGTACGCTGCCTGGGATACATGGGCAATGGATGAATGAACTAGAGGCCAGGTAAATTTTATTTAATTAATTTTTTTTGAAGATTTTATTTATTTGACAGAGAGAGACACAGCGAAAGAGGGAACACGAGCAGGGGAAGTGGGAGAGGGAGAAGCAGGCTTCCCGCGGAGCAGGGAGCCCGATGCGGGGCTCGATCCCAGGACCCTGGGACCATGACCTGAGCCGAAGGCAGACGCTTAATGACTGAGCCACCCAGGTGCTCCCCCAGGTAAATTTTATGAGAGGTGTGCTAAGCAGCTTCAACTATGGCCCTAGTGATCCTTGCCTTCTGGTATAATGTGTAATCTCCCACACTAAGTCAGGCTGACTTATATGATGATCAATAGGAAGCTGTGGAACTAACAAAGTATGACTTTCAAGGCCAGGTCATAAAAGGCACTGCAGTTCATTCAGTCTTGGAATCTTGTATCATTTGCTCTTGGAGGAATCCAACCACCATGTTGTGAGGATGCTCAGGTGGCCCCATGGAGAAGTTTACACCAAAAGGCACTGAGCCTCCTTCCAACTGCCAGCCATGTGAGGAGCCACACTGGAAGTGGGTCCTGCAGCTCCGTCAAGTCTTCAGATGACAGCAGGCCCAGCCAACACCTGATTGCAACCTTATGAGAGACACAAAGCAGAACTGCTCAGTCAAGCCACTCCTGGATTCTTAACCCACAGGAATCATTAAGAAATAATAAATGATTCATTTTTTAAAGATTTATTTATTTGACATAAAGAGAGAAAGAGGGCACACAAGTAGAGGGAGTGGCAGGCAGTGGGAGAGGGAGAAGCAGGCTCCCCGCTGAGCAGGGAGCCCGATGCGGGACTTGATCCCAGGACCCTGGGATCATGACCTGAGCGGAAGGCAGATGCTTAACTGACTGAGCCACCCAGGTTGCCCCATGGTTCATGTTTTTTTTTTTTTTTAAAGATTTTATTTATTTATTTGAGAGAGAGAGAATGAGAGATAGAGAGCACGAGAGGGAAGAGCGTCAGAGGGAGAAGCCGACTCCCTGCCGAGCAGGGAGCCCGATGTGGGACTGGATCCCGGGACTCCAGGATCATGACCTGAGCCGAAGGCAGTTGCTTAACCAACTGAGCCACCCAGGAACCCCCCAATTTTTTTTTTTTATTTGACAGAGACAGACACAGCGAGAGAAGGAACATAGCAGGGGGAGTGGGAGAGGGAGAAGCAGGCTTCCCGCCAAGCAGGGAGCCCGATGCGGGGCTAGATCCCAGAACCCCGGGATCATGACCTGAGCCGAAGGCAGACGCTTAACGACTGAGCCACCCAGGCGCCCCTATTTTTCAAATTTTTGACAATGAACATATTACAGGATTTCTATTGCCAGAACTTGTTTTTTCCTTCCTTCCTTTTAGAGACCTAATGACAGAAGAGAAAACTAGAAAGACAACCAAAATGACCAAGATTTTGGGAATTCTATTGCATGAGGATTGACCCAAATTAACTGAAATTCCGCATTTTATGTGGCAAGGGTTAAGTGAAATGTCAGTATTAGTTGCAATGTATTGACTTCTAATGACCAAACGCCAAATAGAGGTAAATAAATGATGTAACTGAGATACCAACTAAGATTTGGTTTCAAAATACAAGCAAATTAAAGAAGGACAAGGAGCAACTCACAGACAAATCCTGCACAGGATTTACACCACGTTCAGGGAATGGACATGGTATTATGTCTGGTCTGGGCTGCTGAGAACAACATATTCCATTTTTCCTTGCTCCACAGCGTCTGGATATATATTTTCCCCTGGACAATTTGTATGACATCCACACTATATAGTTCTCGTTGATTGCCAGAAACGATGATGTCTTATGATTTGCATTATGTATCCTCCTTATCTGGCCCTCCTGTTTACCATAAGAGGAAGCATTTGTTTTTGCACCAGTCAAGGGTTGCAGGAGAAACATCTGTTGGTGCTCCAGCCCGTAAGACTTGCAGAGCTTCTGCATGTCAGTGCTCGGGGCACGACGCCCCTCCCCCGGCCCCTCACTCGCCTTGCCATCCTAAGCCTAGGTATCTCAGGTTGCACACTCCAGAGCGTTTGATTGCATCCCGCTTTTTCTTCCAGACTTTCCCCCTCACCCCCACCCAGATTAACAGCCAAGGCCAAGGCGCGGCGGCCTGACCTTGGGTCATCTTCGGCCGCGGAATCGCGGCGTGACCTTGGGCAAGTCCCCGCTTCCCCTTCCGCCAAACCGCGTGGCTGGAGAGCCGGGTCTCCCCTCCGGCCTCCGCTCAGCCGAGCCGGGAAGACTCTGGCCCGCACCCCTTTCTCCCCCGACTTCCTCCGCGCGCGCTCCACCTTCCCCACCCCTACGCTCCTGGCGTTGCGGCCGCCTCCATTCGCACGGCCCTTTCATTCCAGACGCTCGTTTACGCCGCGCGGACTGGGAGGGTGCGATTCCCGGATGCGGCCTGCGCTGCAAGCGCGCGGCCGTCCCGCAGGCCCTCGCGGCTTTACGCCGCTGACGCAGCGCGCCCAAGATGGCGGCGCGGTCGTCGTCGGGGGTGGCGGCGGCAGAGGGGGCGGCGGCCGTGGCGGCGGCGGCGACGGCAGCCGTGACGGCGGCGGCGGCGCGGGACCTGGGCCGGGGGGTATGAGGCAGCCGTGGCGGGCCAGCGGCCAAGCCGTGTAGCGGAGAAGCGGCTCCCCCTCCCTGCTTCCCTTGGCCGAGCCGGGGACGCGCGCGCGCGCCGCCGTCCGGAGCGGGCTCCCCACCCTCCACTCCCGCGACCCGCACCGCACCCCCACCCGGGCCCGGAGGATGATGAAGCTCAAGTCGAACCAGACTCGCACCTATGACGGCGACGGCTACAAGAAGCGGGCCGCGTGCCTGTGTTTCCGCAGTGAGAGCGAGGAGGAGGTGAGGCTCCGGCCGACAGGGCCGGAGGTCACCGGAATCGGCTGCCGCCTCCGGCCGAGGCGCGGGGGGCGCGGCCGCTGGGGGAGGGTGTGCCGGGGCCCCGGCAGGGCCGCTCCTCTCGGCCCGAATGAAGTTCCGACGGAATTTCTTGAGCCAAACAAGAGGAGGAAGGAAGAAGGACGGTGGGGCGGAGGGGAAGTGGGTCCGAGCGTGGCCACACGGCATGGGAGTCAGGCCGAGGGAGCTTCAGAGCCGGCCTCCTGTCATAGGAGACAGTGGCCGCGGAGAGAAGGCGGTGGGTGGGGAAGTGTGTGTGGCTTTCGGGCCAGGCCTCCAGCTTTGGATCCAGGAAGGGCAGCTCCGCACTTGTCAACCCGCACATGTGTGCAGAGGCCGCGGTGCACGAGGCGCAGGCCGGCCCTTTGTGCTGGAGTAATAGTCCACTTCACTGGCAGGTTTGGGGGTTGCCGAGGGATTATGTGTGTCTGTGAGCTTAAGGGGGGGTGGTTAGGAAGATTTAGGGCGTTGTACAAACGCCAAAGCCAGTTTATTTTACAATGCGCTGGGTAGCCTTCTGGTGTAGCTGAGAAGAAAGGACATTTGATAAGATAATCTTTATGACCTGAAAATATTTCATTTTAATTGGGAAGGCCAAAAGCAATGTTTAAGATCTTTGCCCTGACATGGCTCTATAGTAAGGCGTTTAGGATTAAATTTGCTAGCAAAATAGAATTAGAATCAGTTTCTTCTTGCATGGGGTACTTAAAAAAAAATCTCAGCTTCCCAAAGCCTTTTCTGTGGTGATAAAGGGAATTTAGAGAAGGCAAACGTTTTTGTAAATCCACAAAGAATAGCTGCTTTGGAAATTCATAAGATGCCTGTGGGAAAGCGTTTCTCTCCTGTGCATGGTGGTAAAATGGCAGTTAAACTGGAAACAATGAAGGACAGTGAAATTCAATATGCTATATTCTGGCATTCAGCAGTGGGCTGTCGTGGCAGGGCTGCAAGTACAGTGCATCGTGTCGAAATGGGGGGAGAGGAACTTGACCCGTTAGTTATGAAAAGAAGCTGTGATGAAAGAGACAGATGGGTTGCCAGGAGTTGCTGTCCAGAGATATTTGGGAGGAAGTGGGACTTTAAATTATTGCCTGAAAAAAATTAGCAAAGCAGTAATTGTGCTATTGAGGGACTCCGTGTGTGTGTGTGTGTTCCCTTTCAGCAAAACAGAAGGAAAGGGAATTTGGAAATGTATACTTTGTGTCCTATCATATATTGTAAAAGTCCCCAAAACAGATGTAATAAGAGGGGCATGGTGTGAATTATGTAGTTTTGGAATACATACTTGAGTAAAGTAAAATTGTCGGTGGTGGTTACTGCTCCAGAGGCTTTGTTCTCTTCATTATCATATCATATTATGGGAAATCAGATGGGATCACAGTCTTGTTTTAACTGGAGGGAAAATTAATTAGCATAATAACATGTCTTACTACAGTACTGTGGTTAAGTCTGTGAGCACCCCAATTATAAGTAGAAGGGTGTATAATTTAGTTGTATGAATGATGCAAGACTTTATTTGTTAAAAAAATCATACTAGAAGTTGAGAACACGTGAGTATTTTGGATAAATTGGAAAGTCTTCATAGATCATAAGCAAACTAAGACTTGATTTTCCGTTTTCTGTTAGTTTTATTATGTACTGACATTAACAGCCTTAATGTTAAAACATTTGACTGTGGAGTTTGAGTTTCTTTGCTGAATTTCTTTTTGAACATTGGCTAATGAATGAGCAGAAGATACATGCAAATTTTTAGTTCCAGATTCAGTGGATGTTATAGCTAAAGCCCAGAAAGAACAAGAAAATTAATGAAATGCACCCATTTTAGACTTGTTCAGTTCAATTAAACAGATATGTGTTAAGAGCCTACTATGGGTGTAGCACTCTATAATGTGGGATTTAAAGGTAAACATCCCTCCCTGCCCAAAAAAGTTGAGTACTTTTCAATGGGATCCCTTAATTGGGGAGGGATTTTGGACCAGAAAATAACCTCTAGGGTGCCGTTCAGCTCTCAGATTACATAATTGTGTTAGAAGGGAAGTAATTTGTTAGTTCCGGGAGAACTTTTATGTTCTCAATAGAAGTGCCAGAGACTGGAAGTATTAGCTGCCACACATTGTGGGAATGTGAAATTCAAACTCAGCAGGACATTCAACCCAATTTTATTTTTTAATGGGAACCAATGGCTTTAATCAAGATAGAATAGTTTACAGAATATTATTAGCATGAATACAATAGTAATGTAAGTATAAGGGGACCCTAGTTAATTTAATTTACCAGTGTCAGGAAATATACATATAATGTAAAGAGAAAGAGATGGAAAATATTAGCAGATAATAGACGGAATCAAACCTTGTAACATTCTGTTTTTTCAGCCCCACAAGATTTTATTTATATGCCAGCAGTGATAGCTGAAACACTGATCCAGGTTAGGATGTATGAACATACTCAGCAAGGTTATGGAGCCAGTTTATTGAGATACTATTAGAAAGGAGACATATGTAGGGAGCTTAAAGTCTAGAGGGAGAGACAGAAGAGCAAGCCCAACAGCATGAAGAGAATGTGTTTCCTTTACTTCAACATGAACCGCTGCTTTTCCTATTAGTAAACAAGAATCAATAGGAAAATGAGGGGGGCGCCTGGGTGGCTCAGTCGTTAGGTGTCTGCCTTCGGCTCGGTCGTGATCCCAGGGTCCTGGGATCGAGCCCCGCATGGGGCTCCCTGCTCGGCGGGGAGCCTGCTTCTCCCTCTCCCACTCTCCCCTGCTTGGGTTCGCTCTCTTGCTGTGTCTCTCTCTGTCAAATAAATAAATAAATAAATAAATAAATAAATAATCTAAAAAAAAAAAAAAGGAAAATCCCCCCACTTCAAAGTTTTACTAATTGTTATTGACATCTTTTTTTTTTTAAAGATTTTATTTATTTATTTGAGAGAGAGAATGGTAGAGAGAGAGCATGAGAGGGAAGAGGGTCAGAGGGAGAAGCAGACTCCCTGCTGAGCAGGAAGCCCGATGTGGGACTCGATCCCGGGACTCCAGGATCATGACCTGAGCCGAAGGCAGTCGCTTAACCAACTGAGCCACCCAGGCGCCCCTGTTATTGACATCTTGATAAATTAAAACCTTTAAGTTTGGAGCATTCATGATAACTAGCGTATTTATTATAGTACTTTGAACCTACTGTTAACAGTAGATAGTCTCTTACCCAACCTCCACTTAAACCACCTTGGTACACTGAATGCTGTTACTCTGGGAGCTACTGGGTTTCATATACCCCCCCAACCATGAGGCCTCCCGACCAATTGCGTGCTTACAAAGAATCAAAGTTGTCTTTATTCCTGTATTTGTTTATGTTCATCTGACTTGTTATTGTAATTATGCAGTGTAATTAAATATGATGTAAGCCCATGAAATTTGAGTTCAGAAAGAATGGTTTTGTGAGAAGTATTCTGAATCCTTTGGAATGACTCAGTAATTTCAAGTCATTAAAAGAAATTACTGCTCAATTATATGGATAAGCAAAAGATGAAGAGGTAGTCTTAAAAGTTTAGAAAGACTCTGCACATAGGTAAAGTGTTTTCAGGTTTTTGTTTTTCTTTATAGAAACCTGAACTGGAGGGATGCCAGGGTGGCTCAGTCGGTTAAGTGTTCGGCTCTTGGTTTAGGCTCAGGTCATGATCCAGGGTTTGTGGGATTGAACCCTGCATTGGGCTCCACATTTGGCAGGGAGTCTGCTGGAAGTTCTCTCCCCCTCCCTCTCTCCGTTCCCCTCCCTCTGCTTGCACATGTGCACGCATGTGCTTTCTCTCTTTCAAATGAATAATTTCTTAAAAACAAACAAAAAAACCCTGAACTGGAAAACATAGGTCATGCATGGTGGGTGTGGTATATGAAAGACAACTCAGCGTTCAACAATAGACCTATACTCTGGGGCGCCTGGGTGGCTCAGTTGGTTAAGCGACTGCCTTCGGCTCAGGTCATGATCCTGGAGTCCCGGGATCGAGTCCCGCATCAGGCTCTCTGCTCAGCAGGGAGTCTGCTTCTCCCTCTGACCCTCTTCCCTCTCGTGCTTTCTATCTCTCTCATTCTCTCTCTCTCTCTGAAATAAATAAATAAAATTAAAAACAAAAACAAAAAAACAATAGACCTATACTCAAGACAAGATCTTGGGACCTACAAACAAGGATTAGCAAATAAATACACATTTATATTTTTAATCTGTATCTTCCAATTAACATTTATCCTAAACAATACAGAAGACTGAAACTGGTTTCTTGAGTAAGATTTTACTGTTCTGGATTGGGTAATATGACACTCATCTTTGTCCTATTATTCAACTTTGGCTCTCCGAAAGCACTTCCATTTGAGATTTTTCCCTCTTTTCTCTTTTTTGGAGCCTCTGTGATGGGACAGGAAGTGAAGTATACTAGAGGTGGGCTTGCTTGTGCTCTCCTACCCTCCCCAGAGTGGAGTGGGGGAGTGTAACAGGCGTTTTAGATGGTTGAAATGTCTAGCAGTATGAAATACTCTTTTAGAAAGACCAGTTGACATAGGTTGTATACCAGATGATGTTGCAGTGCTTGTGCTTAGGAATTAAAGCTGTGCCAAGGGTCTGTTTTTACTCAAGGTAAAAAATGAGTACTGATAGGATTGTCTCACATTTCCCTGTGTATTAAAACTGCTTTTAAAAAGAAAGGACAAAACTGTCCTTAAGGGTCTTAGGTTGGTTTGCTGAGCTTTTCCATCTCTTTGCAAGGGACTGCTGCTTCTCATTTTCTCAGCTCCTTGAGCTCACGGAGTTGGGTGGGGAGATGATTGACATTGAAGATCCTCAGTGGGCAACAACTCTGGTGGCCTGAGTGTTTGTTGGTAAAAATGTCCCAGAGGAGCGGGTGGAAGGACGTCCCTGCAGACCGCACCTTCCCCTGGGCTCTAGAGAGGGGAGTAA